TGCTATCAAATCCCCCCTCACTCTTCGCTTCTGCAGACTAAACAGACCCAAGTCCCTCAGCCTCTCCTCATAAGTCATATGCTCCAGCCTCCTAATTATTTTGGTTGCCCTCCGCTGGACCCTTTCCAATGCATCCACATCCTTTCTGTAGTGGGGTGGGGAGCACAACTGGACACAATACTCCAGATGTTGCCTCACCAGAGCCAAATAAAGGGTAATAATCACTTCTCTAGATCTGCTGGAAATGCTCTTCCTAATGCATCCTAATATGCCATTAGCCTTCTTGGCTACAAGGGCACACTGTTGACTCCTATCCAGCTTCTCAGCTACTGTTATCCCCGGGTCCTTTTCTGCTGAATTACTACTTAGCCAGTCTGTTACCAGCCTATAACAAGGCTTGGGATTCTTACATCCAAAGTGCAGAACTCTGCACTTGTCCTTGTTGAACCTCGTCAGATTTCTTTTGGCCCAATCCTCTAATCTAAGTCACTCTGGACCCTATCCGTGCCCTCCAACATATCTACCTCTCCCCCTAGCTTAGTGTCATCCACAAACTTGCTGAGGGTGCAATCCATCCCCTCATCGAGGTCATTAATAAAGATGTTGAACAAAACTAGCCCTAGAACCGATCCTTGAGGCACTCCACTTGAAAATATGCTTCTAGGCTGGGTTTACATTGGCAAGATTTTGTGCAAAAGCACGTGCTTTTGCGCAAAATCTTGCCGCCTGTCTACACTGGCCGTGAGTATTTGCTCAAGAACACTAATGTTGTAATGTACATGTGCCAGTGTAGACGCTCTCTTGCGCAAATACTTTTAACGGAAAAACTCTTCCATTAAAAGTATTTGTGCAAAATCTTGCCAGTGTAGACGTAGCCTTAGTGCCTACAGTTCTCCATTACTGATCAATGGGAGCTGCAGGAGTGGTGTCTGCAGATGTGCTCTGCCTCTCAGGGGTTACCGGGGCAAGCACTAAAAGAATTAACAACCCCCCACTTACTTGTCAGGTCGGGAAATGAGAGTGAAGGACAGTGTGTGTTTGTGAGACAAAAAGATGGACATCGTACCCAAAGGACTGAAAGTGAACAACCCATTAAGATCAACATTCTTACTGACTACAGTGAGAGACTCTGCTACACACTATCCAAGAACAAAAAGACACTCTGGCTGCGTCTAGACTGGCCAGTTTTTTGGGAAAATCAGCCGCTTTTCCAGAAAAACTTGCCAGCTGTCCACACTGGCCGCTTGAATTTCCACAAAAGCACTGACTTCCTACTCTAAGAAATCAGTGCTTCTTGCGGAAATACTATGCTGCTCCCGTTCAGGCAAAAGTCCTATTGTGCAAAACTTTTGCGCAAAGGGGCCAGTGTAGACAGCTCAGATTTGTTTTCCGCAAAAAAGCCCCGATCACGAAAATGGCAATCGGGGCTTTTTTGTGGAAAAGCGTGTCTAGATTGGCAGTGACGCTTTTCCGCAAAAAGTGCTTTGCGGAAAAGCGTCCATGCCAATCTAGACGCTCTTTTCTGAAAATGCTTTTAACGGAAAACTTTTCCGTTAAAAGCATTTCCGGAAAATCATGCCAGTCTGGACACAGCCACAGTGTGTGAGAGTGACAGAGATTTGCATTGCCAGGCTCCCTCCATCCCCTTCACTGTGTGTGGAAATAGGGTACAGAAGTGGGGGAAGGAGGGACACCCTAACATCAGCACCCTGCCTCTTCTCCCTCCCAGATCCTACACAGCAAGCAGGAGGTTTCCAGGGGGGCAGCTGCATGGCAGAGGCCAGGAGCAGCATGACAGTGGGAGGAGGAGCAATTGAAGTGACAGCAGATGACAGCTTTCTGGCCAAACTAGTCAGGATCACCTGTCAGAGGTTCCAAGATCTACTGGTAGATCCGGATCTACTGGTTGGTGACCACTGATTTAAATTATGGAACTCACTGAACTGGAATGCAGTCATCACTGAACCGGAATGCAGTTATCAATCGTGTAAACAATATAGTGACCGGTCTCTCTCTCTCCCCGCCGTGCTTCCTAACGCCTCCCGACTGCCGCTCTCCCTAGTCCCTGGCTCTCGCTGTGGTCTCGGGGGTTCTGTGCCCGGGAGGCGGTAAAAGCTGTTGCAGAGGCAGCTCCTGTCTCTGCCCCAGAGCACCGCGAGCTCACGTGGAAGTTGCTGGCTCTACTGGGCCGCTGTAAGAGCGGGCCACCCGCATTACAAACCCCTGCCTCCCGCCCCCATCCCCGCGGGGTTCCCCTAAGAGCCCCGCAGCCTTGCCGGAGGGGGGCGCGGCAGGAGGCGCCCGGAGGACACGCGCCCTCCCCTAGGCGAGGAGCAGCCCCCAGCTCCGCAGTGCGCACGCTCACCGCCGCCGCGCAGTTTGGCC